CCCCACATGCCGTTTTCCTTATTAAGTATATATACATTCTGTCGGACCTGAGTGGAGAGATAAAAGTGTGTGAAAGGAGAGCAGGAGGATTTGGAGCAGTGTGCAGACGGTGCAGCCAAAATAGAGAGGGGGAATATCAGCAGCAGCTCCTGCCAGCAGCCGCACCGAGCTGCTAAGCAGGGCTTAACGATGCCCGGGGGGGGTATGTGTGCGTGTGCGTGTGAGAGAGAGAGAGAGTGTGTATCTCAGTGTCTGCTTTTTCTTCTTTTTATAAGCCCAAAACAAGAGCTCCATGTTCCGGGGTCAACCAGAGGCCAGTGGATGTGTAAAGCACAACTTTGTTTGATAAGTCGTCAGGCGGTTAGCTAACCGTCGGAGTCGGAGTCGGAGTCGGAGCAGGTTCCTGTAAGTGGAGCACGATGACGGAGCCCAGATAGACTGCTTCAGTCTGTCTTTCTTCTCCCCCCCCCCCCCCCCCCCCAGGACTGGACTCGGGCCACATCACAGTCCACGCACTTAGCTGTGTCGTTAGCGCAGCGTGGCGCTATAAGAGTCCTGCTGTTAGCGCTGCTCTCAGAGCGGCCGATTGTTGCCGCAGAGTCGCTAACAAGAAGAGGGTTTTCAGACTGGGATCGACACAGAAAATGTGGTTCACTCCATCACGGGCCGTTTCCCGCCTCCTCTGTGAGTTTCCCGCCGTCGCCCGTGGACATGAATCTTCCACCTAAGAATAATCACTGCTTAAAAGCAGGTGCTACAAATACCACGGCTAACGTCCCATTTTTATACCAACAAAGACGGAGCCAATGAAGCAGAGTGTGTGATAATGAGGCGCTGCATGTGGGCCATTGTCTGTGGTGGTAATTACACACGTGTTGTCCACGTCTGGACATTCCCAGCGTCCGTCCTGAACAGGGACCGTTGTCCTGTTTCCCACATGTTTGACGATTATAGAAACGTATAAAAGAATTTTCATTTCCTGTTCATTTAATGTTGATTTAAATATGAAATGTAAATGTTTTCTGTTTCTACGATGAAAACGTGTTGTCGATGATTTAAATGTAAATGTTTCTACGATGAAAACGTGTTGTCGATCTGCCCCTAGAGTCCAAGAGGAGTAACTGCAGACAAAAGGCAGGATTCACTGTAAATATTTCTCTTCAGGCTGTAGATACCAGGCCTCAGCACAAACATCCCAGAAATCCCAGAGTTCCTTGCAACATAGAGTACATGCTGTGGGGGGGGGGGGGGGGGGGGGGGGGGGGGGGGGAAGTATATACAGTAGCTGAAGAAATACTTCCTCTTACTTTGACTCAGATACAGTTGGTGAATTTTTATTTATTTGGGGATTTTTTTTATGTAGGGGGCGCTGTGCTGGAGAGTTCTCCTCTTCATTGGACTCATGCTCCAGTATGGTTTTTTTTTTCTGCTAAATCTACAGTTTCATTAGCGTAACAGTAAACCACTCAGTGTACTTCAGGGCTAGGCTAACTGAAGCTAAGCTAACCCTGCTAAACCAAATATTTTTGCCAGTAAACAATGCCCTGGATGTGGTATAAAACCATCAACTTTTGGCTGACGTGTCGTGTCCAGCTTGTGGCCTAGATTTCCCAGACCTGAAGGACCAGCCCAGTCCAATTATTCCGTGCCATATGTGGGCCAGATCAAAATGGAATCTGGGCCAGGTTTTTGGAATTTTGGATTTGAGATTTTAATTTTACCGCTGTGTTTTTCATTTCTTATCGACAGTAGAGGTGACTCCGCCCACCAGCGACCATCAGAACCAGGGGTTCAAACCTCCACAGCTGATTGGTCCTGGTGTCGGTAGAAGGTCTGGATTTTTCTTCACTTTTCCGTCGCAGGTATTTAATATAGAATTCAACCGACAACTCCTCCAGGAGACACCAACGGCTCCTGGCATCCTGATTACACCCCGACACGTCTGCCCCACCAGCGAGGGATGGGGGGTCCGGGGGGGGGGAAACAGACGTGAGAGACAGAGAAGATCGCAGACGTTCTCCGGTTCTGAACAGTTTTCTGTGACTTTTTTCCTTTGTCTGTAAATGTTGTTCCATTTGTTCCTGTTAAAGTGATTGAACTGCTGACAGTCCCGTGACCACTGAGCCACAGCGCGACCCTCGTTATGGTCCGGAGGCTCCTGGAACATGGAACGTTGGCATTGATCTGGATCAGTGCTCATGGACTCCACTGGTCCCACTGTGAGTCTGTGGAGAACCAGTGCCTGGTACTACGCCCCCTGGTGTTGACTGACAGATGTTCGTAAAAACTGGGCTGAAGTCAAAGTTCTGTTGATGCTCTGATCTTTTTGGCTCAAAGTTGAAGCTAGTTTTTAATTTTTGAACATGAACTGTTCTTTTCTTTACGGGTCGTTTTGTTATTATTTTACTCAGTAACCAGTTGTGTCGTCAAACTCTCTGTTAAACCGGAAGTATTTTAACCTAATTGTTTGATTCAGTGAATATTATTTAGTTTATTATCAGAGGCTTCATTTTTTGAATTATTTTATCTCTTTTTTTTCAGTAAAAACCCAGACAGTCGACAGTCAGTTCTGTCTGTTTGTTTTCAAACCTCATGTTTCACCGTCTGCTCGGATCGTTACACCGACCGGAAGTCCGTTTCTCTGGACAAACGTTTGGATTTGAAAAGAAACCGTTCATTAAACACCGTCTCACAAATGTTGTTTCTGTGAAATAAATCTTTTTTTTTCTCCAGAATCACGACAGGAGCTGATGAGAACCGACGGTCGGACGTCAGTGATCGCGGAGACGTCCAGCAGGAGTGGGCTTCACCTGTGGACGGGCTGTGATTGGAGGAGCTGTGGACTGCACCCCGCCCCCCGTGAAGCCCCGCACCCGGAGCTCTCGGATCTCCTCACTGCCTTCCTGCTCCTCAGCCTCGAACATGAGCTCAGCTCCGTGTGTGCGGACCCGCGGCGACACGGATGGTTCTCCCGCCAACTCCTCAGCTCGCTGCTGACTGAAACTGCTCTCGTTTAGGCACAAAACCTGCGTCCTGGTCCCGACCCCGACCCCGGGTTTGTTTCTCTTTTTCTCCGTTGTGGATGCACCATGAAATCCCGCTGGTGGAGTTGTGGCGTCGGGCTGGCCGCGGCGTGGACGTGGGTTTGGAGCCCGGCACTGCTCGGAGTGTGGAGCATCCCGGCGAACGAAGGTAACCACACACACACACACACACACACACCTGCCGGTGGTTTGGTTTTCAGTGCGGCCGCAGGAAGGTCGGTCAGAGAGGCAGGTGGAATCTGGAAGTCAGTGCTGAGTCGGTGACTGTGTTCACAGGACAAAAGTCACCGACGGACTTCTGTTCAGAACCTCGTGGACTTGATCCTGTCTCTTTGACCTCCTTCAGATCATCACTGGTTCAACTTCTCCGTTTTACTAATAACAAAAATATATTTATATATTTGGACCTTTTGTCGGTCTGTGTCCTGACAGACCACCCTGCAGTACAGACGGACACGGTCTGTCCAGTGTTCTCCTTTAATTACTGCAGTTTGAGGTGGAGAGAAAATAAATAAATCTGTGTCCAAATATTGTTCCCACGCCGTTGTCTGCAAACAGAGCAGCAATGTTAACAGCCCCAGATGAATGCCATTGTTAGGGGGGCTATTAGACAGGGGGGGGGGGGCATTCATCAACCTGCAGTTGTTTTCCATGGCAGATTTATTAAACCACAGTTTGGTTTCACAAAAACACTCCTGTGTGTTTGGAGCCGGAGTCTTTGAGGTTCTAGAAAAAATCGATGAAGTGGGTTGGACATTTGACGACTTCCGACGGTCACTGCCTGGTCGTATTGGAACGTAGGACTTTTCAAAATTCAGCTTTAGTCCTGACTCTTATTGTTAATTTTGGTGAAGTCTCAGGAGCTGGTGGAGATTTGACCCTGACGTTGTTCGTCCAACAGGACAGGAAGTCAGGTGTTCTTTTTAAATCATGTCCCAAATTTAAAAAATAAATCCTATAAAAATCAGTTATTGATTTTTTTTTTTTCTCACCAATTCCCAGTCCAATATTCCTGGTGTTGGTTCATGTTCTTGTTCTTTTCTTTCTTCTCTAGTGATTCCAAATGTAGATCCCTCTGTTCCAGAGTTAGGAACTGATGTTCAGATGGAACAGAGTCAGTTACAAAAACTCAATATATCATCGTACCTGTAGTATCGGAGTAAATCGTAAAATATCGTATCGCCAGATTCTTGTCGATGCTCAACCCTACAGTTAACGTTAAATACAAAATATTGAGTTAAAGATCACCGACCGACGTCATGTCAGTCATGTCATGTCAGTCATGTCATGTGATCATTTTAAATCACTTGAAGTCACTAACCAACATGAATGTGATCATAATCTTGGACACCTCGTCTTCTCTCCTCATCTGTAAAAACCTCTCATTAGCCTCGATTCTGAGTCAAATCCACATTAATTGAATTTGCAGCCACTCAGCGACTGGTTTCCTGATCACTGACTAATTACAACAGGAAGAGGAGGAAAACTCC